GATACTGAACTGTACCTTCCATAAATGGGCAACACCTATATGAACTCTGTGTATTAATACATGCCACAGCAAACATTTTATCAACTAATGAAAGATTACTGTACTTCTCCCTTGGAGCCTGTGTCCCACATAGACATGGATCAATGCCTCTTAGGTTACAATCAGAAGAATGAAAACCTCATCATATCTTAAATGGGTCTGTCAAAATCATAAAATCAAAGTACTAGTACAAGTACAGTACTTCTAAAGATCATAAAAGGACAAAAGTAATTTTAGTTCCCAACACTTGAATGTGTCCCTCACAGAAACCAGACCACACTCTTTGAATTTCTTTTTCAAGGGCCGATTCAAATTCTGCAGAAAGACAGCTCCTAGCTCCACAACCTGAGTTGCAAAAACATACCGTACCTACCCACTGTTTTCTCGTACTGTCTGCGAGAAATAAAACTTCTGGCGAACACTAATCTCCCTATAAAGCGACTTAACTTTCTTCACCAGAAGCCTACCTGACTCACTCCACATATTCCACTGGAGACCTAATCATAAAACTTACAAATGTGATAAAATAAGTAAAGTGGAATTTAGCCCTACAGTGCATCTAAATAACTGTTGTAATGAACTTCCCCCAAAAAATAGTCAGCAATATATAGCACATCCAAAACATATTTCTGACTTAAACATATCTGAATCAACCCTGATGTCTTCATAAATATTCTTTGAGTAATTTTCAACACAAAAGTAAGTAGCTTGAATTTTACATACATACACACAAAAAATGTTAAAAGCTGGGAATTCCCTAAACAGCTTTTGAATCAACATTTACCAATACCAAGGAGCATCTTTTAGGCTACCATTAGTTTTCAACCTCCTTCTTACTTGTTTATAGTAGTCATCTTAAACTCTTTACAATAGCTATTAGATGCCCCTAAATTTAGTACCACCCTAAAACAACTCGTGTCCAACAGCTGTATATTTTTACTTAACTATTTCAGCCACAAATTCCCTCAGGAGAAATGAATCTTTCTGATTCACAAATGAGTTACTTTGTAAATTCCCCATTTTCCATCGAAACCTTCTGAAACCACTTGAAAAACTCAGTGATCCAAACTCCAGGACACCCTAAAAAAGCATACCACCAACCAGCCAAATCCTCAGTTGAATTTATCAATTTGGTGAATGTCCAATTCAAAATAAAAACCTTGCCATGAAATGGGTAGCTGATGTCAGTGTTTTTTTTTTTCAATGATGTAGGCCTTTTGTAGAGAACATCAATAACTCCAGGAATTCTGCTGTCCTTCAAACAAGAGGGAACTACAATTGTGATACCGTACAACAGTGGCATATTCTTAATGAATGCAAGCCATGCATTGCATGCCTAGTAGAAAGCAAAATATTTTTAAATATAAGGTTTTGGTTAATGCGTTTGGTCATTTACGCGGTGCCTTGCCAGAATGAAATGCTTTAATTACGCGGTAAATTTGGTCATTTACGCGGGAAGCGGCGCAGGCTGGGTGCGCACAAGATTGCCCAGTCATCAAAACATTACCGAGTTCTTCACCCGCCACCCACCACAGCAGGCCCAAGTCAGTGATAGTAATTGTGATAGTGAGGATATGGACTTTGAGGGGTTTGACACAGAGGCCCTGCAAGCCTCTGTGGTGATACAATTGATACAAGTGATACAGGTGAGGGCCAATAATCTGCCCTCTGCCTCGGAACCAACCCCCCATCCCCGTGTGCCCAGCCATCTTTTCTACTAACGTAAATGCTAAAAAACCCAATATTATTGATATTTCTCTTAATTATGTATGCATACCATCATAAAATTAACATGTTACTGTATTTTTACTACAACGTGCGTATTGTGTCAGGAAAAAGTGGAGTTTGGGGGTCGGCCCAGTCTCTATTTCAATTAATGCCATATGTTCTGTTATTTCATTTACGCGTTTCTCGTTTTACACGGGCCTCCACGGGTTCAATTGACCGTGTAAATGAAGACTCAACTGTAGTATCTTCAATAATACAGATTTACTTTTAGAGTCTTCACAGTTTTCACTCAGGAAAGTTGAGGAGACTCAGCGTCCCTCAATGCATGCAGAAGGATAAGCAGCATGCCCTCAATGGACATATAGATATAACCATCCTATCAATAACATGCTAAAATTAACTTCATTGTGTTGGAGCATAAGGAATTTGAGCCATTTTAGTCAAATTTAATATTTTTTCCCTTAATAAGCACAAAGTCCTATGTTATACGGTGACATTATATTACCTAAGAGTTGTTGTTCCATAAGAGTAGCTATTTAATAAGGTTTCTGTAACTTTAATGGGTACAAATGCCTGCACCTTGGAAACTGTATTCACTTGTCGAGAGGCTATGTATACCGGCGGTGGCTCTCCAACAGCTGGACAAAACTGGTCCACGTTATTATTTTAAATATTTCTAAATAACCCTACAGTCTGCTTTCAGTTAGTTTTTTCACTTGGGAAAGTTATTCAGTTTTCTGCTTTACTTGAAATAATAATTGGATCATATAAATAAAAATATTTACTAATTATTTAAATGTTCAGCAATAAGATCATTGGCAACTTTACAGAGGGCCAGCATTGTGCATGATGCCTAGTCATTTTTTTTAAGTACTGTACTGTACTTTATTTCTAAATTACTGTATGTCACACTGAAAGCATAATATTCTTTTGCCATAAGTATTTTTGCACCCATTATTTAATGATTTATAATAGATACTTTGTAAAATGCCAGTGATATAATTTAAGAAATAGGTGTTTACAAAAGCTTGACACCCCTTATTTAGAGAAAGGCCATATCCTACTTAATATTTGATTTGATAACTGATATATGTGGGTGTTCTGCATGTCTCATCAGCGCAAACACGGTACACCACTGCCGTACAGGTATCCCTCGCTTAATGAATGGGCTAGATTCCTGGTAAACCATTCGTTACGTGAATTTTCGTTTCTCAAATAACAAAACAATTCAGACAAATAGGGTTCGGTTACCAACAACAAGAAAACCCCAACATACTGTTTTATACCCCAAACACATAAAATCAGTTAACCAACAACTTATGAAAATAGTACTGCACTGTACTCATCTACTGCAATTTACTACCTAACACACTAAAAATACTGTATTACCATATTTTATGGTATATTAGACACAGCCATTTTAGCTGGGAGTATTTAGAAAAAAACTTTTGAGTGTATTTTCCTCCTGTATCCAGTTTTTTAAACAATACATACAGTATCAGTAAATGTGAGGAATAAATAAAAATAATAACAATAAATAAGTTACAACAAAAAATACTCTATACTGTACAGTATATATAAGGTATTGCCAAACTCGTAAATAAAAGCCAAATGAAAGTTTAACACAGTCGCCATTTGCATATAAGATACTGTACATCCGTACTCCCTGTTTACCATAGTAACGGCAATGCTATCTCCACCGATTCCCTAGCAAGGCTCTCCCCACCACCAACCACCCAGCCGTCCTCCCGCTCCACCACTAAGCCAGCTAACCTGTGTGCAAAGAAATGTATACCTGTATTCCCTATACAGTGGTCCCTCGGTTAACGAGCAATCCCTCGATTAACGAGTTTTTTATGAGCCGACTTCAACATGTTTTCGCTTGCATTTGGCGGTCCACCAGCTGTAGTATTAGTCCGCCAATACAGTAATCGGTTTTTGGGCTTAAATTCCGTATTATTTTAGTAAATATCAAGAAGTTTATACTATTCAATAATTTTAAAAGTTAAATATTAACTTTTTTAGTCATTTTAACAATTATTGAACATAATTGAAGGTAAAGAAACTAGTTTCTGGCGTGCCATCCAGCCTGTTAACACACCATAATAACCATAATGTAGCTTACAGCTCAAACTGATAGCAAAATGGCTAGGGGGATGTGACTACAGTGACAAGTCAAACTTGGTAACAATGCCACCAGCGGGAGCAGTTACCTAAGGGAGGGCAGTTAAGGCTCCCTACAACAGGTGGGGAATGGCAAAACAAAATACACGGGCTGGGGGAGATGTGGGAGGGTAAGGGAATTGTTATGATCATTGAGCAGAAATACATCTCTGCCCATCTCTCCAAGATGGCTGCCCCCAGCTGACTCCTCAAGGTAAAGGATTTTAATTTTTGCTGGGACCCAAATTTGTATAAGCAGAAGCTTTTGTTAAATAATTAAAAAATATATAATAAATTAGGAAATTCATTTTGGCAAATTTTTGTAACACGGACGTAATGCGGGGTCCAAAAATCCCCACGCCGAACTTATATGAACATAAGTGTAAAAGGGTAAAAAAAATTCAATCTATACTTTCATTTACCCGGTACTCAGCTATTTGGTAATTTTTCATTTTCAGTCAGAAACCTAGCTAAGACCTTTAAATGTTTGTACCCTGTATAGTGTACAGTGTGTCCTTAAATTTCATTAAATGTACCTTCCTGATTTTGGGTGGGATTTTTCCTCTGGGGTCTGTGGGACCCCCCCCCCCCATTACCTTAGGTTAAGACAAATTTTACCATGACCTATTAAGCAAGGGATACCTGTAATAAGAAAAAGCCATCTAAGATAAAATTACTGCACATATGGCTCACCATGCTGTAATATCTGCATGACAAACAATGCTAAGAATACAGATTGACGGCTGAAGACCTAAATATAAAAGGTTTTATAATTGTAATGCACTGGAGATATACAGTACAGTACTGTTGAAACTCTTCCTTCTCCATTCAACAACGGTGCTGAAAATACTGAGCACTTGCTTGCCCCTGGTAATTGCAATATTCCTAGATGTCAAATTATAAAGTCCCATGTTATAGCCACCACAAAGCTGTAAAATTTTCCAATGATTTCATTCCTATAAATCATTTGTCGATAGATATCATTCTGGGATATACTTTTGGGAAACCTATTTCTATTTAAAAGGGTAATACAGAATTCAGTATACAGCACAAAATGAAGATATACTCACTTAATTTCCATCTGGCGATGATATTTCTCAAATGACTAAGTGTAACGATGGTAAGCACAACCACACAAATGCTAATAACAATGACAACTGTGAGAAAAAATGTTTTTTCCCAGTGTGCCCTTTCTGGCTCATGTGAATCCTTGTCTTCATCCTTATCACTATTAGCACCATCACTGAGGTCCTTTCCCATGGAATCCTTACCACAACCATCACTGCCTCTAGCTACACATTCTGACTCACTGGCTCCATTACTAATGGTTTTATTCACTGAATCACTAGCACCACTTTTCTGACTAACACGGACACCACTCGCCACATGTCCCTCTCTCTCCACCACGTAAGACTTATTTTGAGCTCTATATTCAGTGCGTTCTCCACTGTGTCTATGACGGTGGTGGTGCTTTGATTGGCCTTTTTTGTTCTTCTCAGAGTCATTTTGTTCATGAAACAAGCTGTGGTTCTGTCTATTATGGTTGTTTTTATTAGGTTTCTTAGTAATGTTAGATACACCTTGATGCTGACTGGAAGCATTTCCACTGATATTTGACAAATTGTAATTATCAACAGTAAATTTTGAAGTTTGTCTATCACGTCCATGTTCTTCTATAGTGCGGTTCTGTATGGTGGTGGGTGTGGAGAGGGTGATGGGGGCTTGGGGTTTGGTGAGCCGCGACCAGGTGGGAAGGAACTGAGCAGCAGGGGCACACACAGCATCCCGGTACACATAGCACGGTACCACCACCACCAGGGAACCATGGCAGCGTGTACACGGTACACACCGACCCTGCTCGCTGTTGTAAAACTCCTGACCCTGCTGACAAGACAACCCTCCACATACAATGCATACTGTCCAAGCAGCGTACACTGTCCACACCAGCAACCACCACCCTCTTCCTACCATCTGTAAAATATTTTTGAAGTTAGATACATTAAATAAAAAAAATTCTGGCAATGGTACCACCTACTGCATTACAGTACTTTATATAAATGATGTAATATATTAGTACATTACCAAAAATAATTAAAGACAAGGTAAACTGTAATAATGACAGTAAACAAATACAGTACAGTAAATACACACTATATTGGGTTTGAGTAACCCAAAAAAAGGATTGACCTGAATATCCGATTTTTTTTACTAAGTCTTTACTAATACGCTTGCTGAAAACTCAGGGAAGCCTCAAATATTAGTGACTGGGATCAATTCGTGAATCAATTACTTATTCTCATGATAAGCAAATCACTGAAAAAAGTAACTTTACCAACAACAGATACTCTTCATGGTAGAAGACAAGTCTTAATGTCACACCAACCTTTGCAAACTACTGTACACTCATCTCTTGCCAGCCAAAAATTTATCATTCCCAAGCTTAATACCTCAGTTATACCTGACTTCTTCATTGTCTACTGGGAGGAGGGAAAGTATTTAAATATTTTAATTTAATCAAAGTCATGAAATGTAATGGGATATCAGTATCATTCCTCTATTTATGACCTAATTCCTGGTCTAAATGGAGGAGATAGCACTATCTATGCTCCAACTGCTAATATGACACACACCCCACCAGTGGAGGTAACCTTAATGCTATAGATGGGTTCTATTAAGCTGACTCCTAGTGCCACACAGTCCATATGCATAACTTCCTGCTGCAGGAAGAGGCCAATAGTACATAATTTAGCCACTGAACATGGATATTCCTCTTGTAAAAGTCATTGTATAAATAAAGCTACTGAGGACAAATGCCTTGCAATGCAACCTGGCTGCATCACATAAGGGCATGACAATTATCTAGTTAATAAAAGCAATCCATAATCTTAAGATGTGAATTCACAGCATTCCCTGGCCACAGAGAACAATGACAAGCATATTAATTTTTCCATATCAGAAAATAATTGCTGCACATTTAGGCCTAGAGCAGGAAGACTCACTCATTGTTAAGAAATTGAGATAGCCTAAGGTTACACAAACTAAAAGTAGGACCAATGGAGACATAACCAGAGACTTTCCTAAACATGAAAATCTCTTGAGATACTCCTTTCTGAAGTGATGGGAGAAGCACTACTCTGATACTTTCTGATAATTTTCCCTATTACTGTACTTATGAAATGAACCAAGATGACCCATTCAATGCCTTCTGATATCTCATTTTATCAAGCTCTGCCATTAATAAATTCCTATTTTACCCAAGTGTTCCAAAGCAAAACTCTAACGAACCAGCACAATAACTGTTATTCTCCCGGTCTGGACTTTTAATGGAATCCTCCTGCTAAATTTGTAAATAAACCAACTAACAGCTTCATAAGATGAGCCATAGATAATAAGTCATCCGGCAGAGGGCCCTAAGAATCAAGAAATTATGAAAAAGCAAGCAAGAGCACAGCCTTCCTCACAAGATGCAATATGCTATCATTTCTAAGAAAGGAATTTTTCCTACAAAAGCTGTAGCTCTACAAGAATCCACTATCTCCCCAAAGTAAAATGTAACAAAGGTGCAACAAAGCCTACCATTACTAGAAGAGAAGGTATTCAGAAAAGAAGGATTGTAATTAATCCTTTGAATTACCAACAAAAATAAAAGATTAATCTCCAACAGTATTGTATACTTCACCAAGTATGGACTTTGGATAACAGGCAAAGTACACCTTCATTTCCAAGTGAGGTTACATGACTACAGAGGTTGCACAATTATAAACATATTATGTAATAGGAAAATTATGGATTAGGATCTCCTTAGTCAGATGAAAAGCTATAGCTACAGTATAGTACAATATATCCCATTTTGGGATCAAACCTACTGTATGAAAACACAACTCAAGGTAGGTAAAGTAAAAATTGAGTGGAAATGAATGGCTTGACACATGTAATTGCAATATTGCATGGCTATTCCAGCCAATGACCAAGGTTTGCTCACACTACAATAATAAGACATCAGAGTCATTAGTTTCTGACCTTCAGTTGTGACTATTGCTTCTAATACTGTACTCATTTTTAAGGTTGATGGTAGCAACAGAAAGAAAGTTAATGTAATTAATGTATCATCCCAGCCAATATGTCTACAATTTATCCTTAGACTTTGTGGGTAAATACTGTACTGTACATGCATCACACAGTTCTGGGCTCAGCCACAAAATGTGGTTTCAGGTTCAATCATTCATTTTTGTTAACAATGTAATTACAAATAATTTCCTGTAATTATCTCAATGCTGAACAGTATAAAGTAATGGATAAGATTCAGAAGCTGTCTACCACAGAACTTTATACTGTACAGGTAACCCTCAAGATACAACTGGGTTAGATTATAAAAAAAAAAAAAAAAAAACATTCGACAAGTGAATTTTCATATCTCAAATGGAAAAAAAATGGGAAAAATAGAGTTCAGCTTCCCAATGACAAAAATACCCCAATATCATACCCCCAAAACAAAAATCAGTTCACAAATAAGAATAAAACCTACCTAACTAATGATAAATAGTACACAACTACAGTGCAGTATGCCCGGATAATTTGCGATCCTCTATTATTTACGGATGACACCCTGGATGTACCCAAGACTGTTTGCGGGTACAGGTCCACCACCGATTTTCCGGGAACAGATGGTCCAGCACCTCTTTTAATCCGGACAAAATTATGAAAAGGCACTTGAAATTCCCGCAACTTCCAGATTAGTTGACTGGGATGCCACAGATGGCATTACATGTTAACAACATTCCCTTTGTTTGTTTATCCTGCAATTGCTGGTGGTAGCTCCTTGATTTTGTGTGATTCTTAGCTTATTTTGCACATATTTAACCTCAGCTATGTCTTCAAAGGCAAGTACGTACTACAAGTGTCAGTGGTGGTGTAAAGCGTAAACACCAGTCCATATTGATACAAGATAAGGTGGAACTTTTGATAAAACTTGACCATGGTGTTTCGGTGCGACAGGTGTGTGATCAGTATGGTATTGGTTCGTCAACTGTGTATCATATAAAGAAGCAAAGAAAAAATAATGAGATTCTATGCAGAAAGTGATTCCAAGAAGCAACTATGCATTAGAAAAACAATGAAAGACGGTAAGAGTACCGACAAAATTTACATTTAATATTTGTTTAATTTAAGTTTCTAGCAGCCAAGGTGCTTTAAAGATACCGGGAGGTGTATAGCTAGTGGGTCAGAAGTGTACAGTATATACAATACAGGTAAAAGAAATAGTGGTCCAAAGGGCAAACACATAAAGGGAATATACATTTATTTGTACACAAGTAAAAATGCCCCCACTACAAATTAATTTGTTAATAAGTTAAAGAATAATCAATAAAAGTAAAAACAGAGACAGGATCTTCTTCCATAAATTTTTTTTCTACTTACAAAGTGACCTTCACTGCACTTACATTCAATTTATTTTTAAAACTACCGGGGTATGTCCTAATTTCTGTGCAACTACAGTATAAAATAAATAAAGATAATGAAAAAATTAGAAATGTTCATTTTTCTAATTAGGTAAATCCAAAATTTAGGCAAAAATATCACTATGCAGTAAATACAGGAAAAGTAATACCAATAAGAAGAAAAGCAAACATAAATAGTGAAAAATTAAAGTGGACCTAATTGGGCATTACTGCCCATTAGGGACAGTGTAAATAGAGCATGCTGTACAGTATACTAAACCTTCAGTATGTAAGAAAGCAGTCTGGCCAGCACTGTACCCAAATGCCTTCAAGTTTGTCAAGTTTGATACACATTTTAGTTGGATGGATTGGGAGTACAGTACCCTGGGATCAAACCTGAGATCCTTAGGACAGTACGCCAATGCTGTATCCATTCAACTGCCACACTCATGTTCAGCTTATACACTACATACAAAAACACAGTACTACCAGAACTCGATACACTTGCACCAATCCTTTGTGCTGAATAGAATTGTCTGGTGTTAGCCAAATCAAAATCAAAAGTGGCATTAGCCGTGGAAATAGTTTATTGTGTCGGGGGTCTTTCGACTGTGCTGATTAAAATCGCCAGGCGTTAGCCAATTAAATATTAAGTGGCATCCTGTAGTGCAAGGGTTAATTTTTTTCATAGACAGTTGTCAGCACCAGATTTTGTTTTTAACATACCAAGAAATTTATTTAGGGTTATTTGAAATTAGGCTAGGTAAGTTCAGGAAGATTAAGTTAAGTTCAATTACGGCTGTTTTGATTGACTTAGATGGTAAGGTCAGATCTCATAAAAAAAAAGTTATTTTCATTACTTCACAATGATTTTTTCATTGCTCTTCCACCAAATTTACTTAATAAGCACTGAAACAAACATTTTGTAATGATCCTGTAAAAATAAAAGTGGTTCTCACCTCAACCTATACTATGGTACAGTATAGGGTGAGGTTACTACGGTACATGTTTGTTACTATGCATAAAAAGCAAACCCATATGTGGAGCCAGGAAAAATAAATGGAAATATGTTAAAACAATGTATTTTTGTAGATTTCTTGGGGAAAGAAAGCTTTTATCTTCTACAGAGAAATTTCGTCAGGTAGCTACTAAGGACAGACCACTCTCATCAAATTTTACTTAAAAAAAAAATAATACAGTATTGTAATATACAGTACTAATATACTTCAATTTGGCCAATGTGTAGTTTCAACCCACCATGGCTCTATAGCTGAGCAATGTGTTTATCCGGTGGTTTAAACAATTTTAAGACACTTTTTTCTATGACGGGGGATCCAGAGGAGCAGAACTTCCCGAATAGGAAGTTAGGTTAGGCAATTTTAGGTCATTTGCAAGGGAACATCATAGAAGAAAAGTGCCTTAAAATTGTCTAAACTATTGGAAAAACTCATTGTTCAACTTGAGAGCCGTGGTTAGTTAAAACTACAAATTCACCTGCAATTCTCTAGGTAAGGGTCTAGTTGAAAATCACCAACTTAAAACACAAAAATAATTATTTTCATATACAAAATACAAATCTGGTGATGGAGCAAGGAAAACATCTGACTTTGAATTTACATAAGAAACAACATGTACTGTATACCATGAGCCTTCATGCTTTTAGCACTCATGTGAGCTGATAAAAACATCAGTGATGTCCAATTGTAGCCAGATATGACAACCAAGAGACTGACCTATTCATAGTAAAATTTGACATAGCTCCATGGTTTTCTTTGATTCATCAAGAGAACATAAGAACATAAGAATGGAGGAAACTGCAGCAGGCCTATTGGCCCATACTGGGCAATCCCATTTACACCCAACCCCTATTGCTCATATAAACATCCAACCTATGTTTGAAGCTATCCAGCATATTCGAGTCAATGATGATATTTGGTAACTTGTTCCACTCGTCCACTACTCTATTTCTAAACCAATGTTTACACATTTTGCACCTAAATCTAAATTTGTCTAATTTAAAACCATTGTTACGAGTTCGCTCCTGGTTGGATAGTTTGAGTACCTTGGTAATTTCCCCATTGTTCAGCCCTGACTTCCATTTATACACCTCTATCATATCGCCCCTCACTCTATGTCTCTCGAGGGAGTGCAAATTAAGATACTTTAACCTGTCTCTGTACTCAAGGTTCCTATTGCCCAGGATTAGTCGTCGTTCTCCTCTGAATTCTTTCCAAGGATTCTATATCCATTCTGTAATACGGTGACCAGAATTGAACTGCATAATCCAAGTGAGGTCTCACAAGTATAGTTTTAAGATGACTTCGCTCGTCTTGTAACTAACACTCCTTTGTATGAACCCAAGTACTCTATTAGCCTCGAAAATTTAAAATGTTTTCCCCTTGCTCCACCATAAGATTCACAGGTTAGATATAGTTCCTGGGTTCTGTGGCTAGGTTAGGTTAGGTCAGGTTAGGTTAGGTTAGGTTAGGTTAGGTTAGGTTAGGTCAGGTTAGGTTAAGTCAGGTTAGGTTAGGTTATGTTACATTAGTTAATGAGTTAATAGATCGAGTGCATGTACCTAACCTAACCTAACCTAACACAACTCAGATTAAATTAAGTTTACCAATTTTTTGTGACTTCGTGACACCAAATACCAGTCGAGAAGTGATTGGCAGTCCTATTTATTCTTGTAGGACCATCATTTGACTTCATTGCGGCTTCATTTGGGTACATTTGGGTAATTACTCGCTCCCTCGGTACATGCACGCGATCTATTAACTCAGATTAAAGTAAGTTTTCCATTTTTTTTTTACTTTGTGACACCAAATACTAGTCGAGAAGTGATTAGCAGTCCGATTTATTCATGTAGGACCATTATTTGACTTCATTGCGGCTACATTTGGGTAATTAGTCGGACCGGGTTCTATGTATTGTCGTTTCCATTTCTGTGTTTATTAGCATGCTAATAGTGTGTAGAAAAACTCCAACGATTTCTACAAACTCCTTCTGGTGTTAGCCCTAAACTACACCTTTACCCATAATTATTATAACAAACATAAAAGTAAAGATTCCATTCAGAAATATTCTATAATAAATTGGCAACCCCTTCTTTTACCCTAAATGTCTATGCTGGGTATTTGGTAAATACTGTACTATATGATTCACTTTTGCTGTAATTACAAAAGACACTTAGTTGATAACTGGTCCTTTCATTTTTTTTTTTTTACAAAGATATTTCTTAGTTTTATCAAATCATAATATGCCAACTTCGAACATTATTATGCATTTCACATTTCTTGACAGTCCAACGACCATGCCTCCCGCCCTTTCCCTCAACCTCCCACGGTCGTATCTCACCCCAGTCTGGTCTTCTGTTCCCACACCTGACAAATTTATACGTTAGATAGTCCAATTCTACACATCTACCAGCACATTTCACTTGCCTAAATTACACATTTCATCTTGGCCAAACCACCTGTTACTTCGTGACCTGAACCTGCCGAGAATAACCACTTCAACTAACAATCTTATTCTCAACAAATCCTCCATTTAATGTGGCAAATAGATGCTCGCACTTTACTGCAATCCCTTACCTTCGTCCCGATGCTTAGTATTTTACGCTTTTAATCCATTTTAGCGGTAAATTCATCTTGGCAAATATGCATTCACAACACACAAACATAAGACATCTTGCTATAATTACAATGAGACTCGCTGTCTGGCCCATGCCCCATACCCAGCCTACGCGAGCCACTGATGGGCTAGCCGTCGAGCCTCGCCATAATTTCATTCATTAGGTGTACAAGTAGCGACGTCACTGCTGTGGCGGCCAATGATCGTGCTGTTCCGTACAACCTCAAGGCTGAGCTGCTGTGGGCACAATTCTAGACTGGACTGAATGATATGAATGAGGAGCCGTGCCCACAGTGCTCCATACCTCCCATCACAGTACGGGCTTAGAAGTCGGCACCACCTTCACCAGACGTGGGTGTCATGCCCAGGTGGCCCTGCATGCCATCGCTACCACAACATTGAATTATTCATGTGCTGCTCAAGCCATAATGGCCCACATACCAGTCGTTCTTGCTGCTTTCTACAATACAGTACCACGTTTTTTTGCAAAGGTTGATGCGCCTGGTGCTGTGGATGTGACATATAATTGGCACAGGAGTCAGAACCCTCATCTTATTGTGTATAATCCTAAAACTTAATACAAAGCAGCTTACATTAAGCTGGTGAGTTATTATTTTATCAAATGAGACAAGACATGCAATGCCTTATGGTTATTTATGGGGGCATCAGTTCAGGAAATGACAAGTCAGCAACCACGTGGAAGATATATAAATCAAGATGATCAAAAGGCATCCGGACACATAATTACCCTCAATGAAGATTACCTGTATAAAAGCTTCAGCGCAGACCTCCTATTCGAGGGTCGCTCGTTCGCCCCGTGGGCGCCCCTATACCCCAATGCACTCCGCTATAAATGGGTACCAAGCTTTACTATATAGTACGGGATAATCTTTTATTATCGAAGGAAGTAGCGACCCTGCTTTATCTGACAGGAGGCAACTTGGAAGTCCCACATAATTATAACTACCAATGAGAACAAATTTTGTGTCGAATTTGTGTGGATCCCGTCCCATGTTGGAATCAGGTATCATCACCGTGCTGATAGACTGGCCAATGAGGCATGTAAGAAAGAAAATGTTGACAGTGAACTTGGCCTGTCCAATGCTGTACTTAAAAACATTCACGTCAGAATAATGAACTCTGATCTAGAAGAAGTGAGAAATGCAGAGAGACCTGGCAGTTGTAAGGACAGAACCAGACAATGTGATGTAATCGTGGCCAGAATTAGGCTAGGATACAGACACATCTGGCAGGTTAGTAACGCTGTACCCATACCGGAACACTCAGCATGTAAACTTTGTGATAAACCTTTAAAGCATACACTTGAACACTATATTATTGAATGTGACACTGTCAAAGACTTCAGGCCACCTGACTTATTGTATCTTGAACTTTGTAATTGCTATATTGAATCGGGGGTGCTTGAGGAGATTCTTGCTGTTTATCCCAAATTTGCTAGCCCACACTGATTAGTCCTCAATTAGAACATGACGTCCAATGTATGTGAACCACTGACTTATATATACTGCTAATGAATATGATGTATTTCTTTGTGTACGAACCTCTGTCCTGCATGGCAGTGAACAGTGACATTACCCACATGAATCTGACCTGATATATATATATATATATATATATATATATATATATATATATATATATATATATATATATATATATATATATATATATATAGCTGTTAATGAATATGTTGTATTTCTGTGTATAAACCTCTGTCCTGCGTGGCAGTGAGAAGTGATACCACCCTCAGTGTCAAGACCTGACTGAATTACTCAGAATAGGCAAACTGTACTACAAGCTTTGTCAATAAATTTTCTAAACGAACTAACTATACCCACATAATTTTGCAATGCCCAGTTATCATTCTGTAAAGGTGGTTGGCGATAGGGCATCCATGCCATCAGGTAATTGCGGCTAACCCACACAAGCGAGAAAATTGGTCATGAAACGGGTAAGTTGATGATGATGGTTTACATTTATTGTCATTCATTCATTCTCACCGTGTGACAAATGTATTCTGTCATATTCCTCTTTCACTACATCCCCAAATTTGGTTTATCGTTGTTACTTCCTTTCTTGCTAGTTTATTATCCACTATAAAACTCCATTCAGTACACACTCCTATTAGTCTACAACTCTCCATTCATTCCTGGTACTCCTTTTCTTTTCATAATTCCCTATCTCTAGCTCTTCATTTAACTTTCCCATTAAAAATCACTCATTAAAAAGTACTTGATACAGTTATTCAGGTAATCCCAGTACTTTTTTCTTCCATCCTTACTATTCCCATCCCTGGTTCACGTGTACTGTGTACTTGTCTTTTCCTCTGTACACATTAAAGTTAATTAAGAGTAAATTCAATTCAATTCAAAGCCTGGACTTACGGCTTCTTCACCCTTGAGCTGTGACCCCTTGCGGGTGATGCCAAGTTATTTCGGGAAATTAAGAACCAAGTAGACTAAAGAGCTGCAGAAGGATCTCTGGAAGCTTCAAGAATGATTGATGAAATGGCTGATAAGATTCAAAGTCACTAGAAGGAATACAAGGAGACCCCTACACATGAACCATGAGGCGGTCGACAAAGTTAAGAAGAAAACCCAGAAATTCAAGGCGTGGGTTAGGTCAAACGGTGAGCAGGACAGGAGTGTAGAAGGGCTGAAAAGGGGTTCCAGAGGCTGGTTGCAAGCGAGGTCAAGTCAAACCCAAAGGCGTTTTACCGCTATGGAAAGTCGAAATTAAAAAAGCGAGTAGGAATAACGGACCTGAGGTTTGAAGATGGTAGCTACGCATATCCTGACCAGGACAAAGCTGAGGCATTGAACAGTTTCTTTTCCTCGGTGTTCACAAGAGAGGATGCGATTAATCTTCCTGCATTTGAGTACAGACCGACACAGCACATTGTGTTCACAGAAGAGATTATAAGAAATAAACTGTCAAAGCTAAAGGGTCATAAGAATCTCGGCCCTGACATGATGCATCCCAGAATGCTAAGAGAGTTGTGCAACGAGCTTGCGAAGCCCCTGAAGGTCCTGTTTTATAAATGCCTAAAAAAAAAAAAGATGAGCAATGGGTTCCCATGTGATTGAAAAATGGCTTATGTGAGTCCTATCTTCAAGAAGGGCGACCATCACTCCACGAATAACTATAGACCAGTGAGCCTAACCAGCATAATATGTAAAGTATTTGAGAGCATTATAAGAGATGCCATGATGGAACATCTACTACGAAACAACCTTGTAAAGGATTGTCAACACGGTTTTATGCCGGGGCGCTCCTGCTTAACACAATTACTCAAGGTACTGGATATTTGGACCCAAATTCTGGAACAAGGCAGAGATATTGACAATATATATACCTAGATTTTGCCAAGGCTTTCGACAGTGTACCCCATGAAAGGCTGAAAATTATACTGGAAGGGTACGGGATTCGAGGAAATGTCCTAGCGTGGATCGGAGACTTTCTCCATGACCGCAAACAGAGTGCGGTGATTAATGACACGAAATCATCATGTGTACCCGTCATAGGCGGGGTACCACAGGGCAGTGTATTACTTTACTTTGTGGGATATAGGATGTTTGGTTCACACTCAGGATGGGGTGGAGAAAGGAAACTCACAATGTGCTCTCTATATACATGTTGTATTGGATGTACAATGCAGCTTGGTGCTGGGAAGGCAGCATGGTTACAAGCGTGATGTAGAGAGAGCTGGTTGGTGAGGGTGCTCAGAGGAGGACAACTTGTGGGTCGCCATGCTCGCCGGCGGGAGCGAGGGCCGCCAGGCAGCGGCGGAGGAGGAGGTGGTGTTGCTGGCTGGTTGGTGTGGGTAGACAGAGGGCAGGTCACCACGAGGTCAGGTCCTAAATAGCGGGGGGTAGGCGTGGCTTAGTAGTTGAGCCCCGCTCCGTGATGTATGGCGGCGCTGGTTGACCTAGACCACGAGGCATACACTGGGGAATTGGTGGGGTTGGCTACTCAGCGACAAACAGCGTTTGTAGGGGAGAAATCCACTACAATACTCCCCCTTCCCTCCAGGCGGTGTACATAAGAAAATAAGGAGTCTGCAATAGGCCGGTTGGCCTGTGCATGGCAGCTCCTGTCGAGAGTTACTACCACTCTATCATCCATGAATCTATCTAGCCTCCTCTTGAAACTTTCCAGAGTTCCCGCACTTACTACAAAGTTGCTAAGCTTGTTCCACTCGTCCACCACCCTATTTGTGAACCAGTTTCTTCCTATCTCCCTCCTAAACCTAGACTTATCCAACTTGAATCCGTTGCTCCGAGTCCTATCCTGCTCGGATATTATAAGAACTTTATCTATATCCCCTTTATTGATTCCTTTCACCAATTTAAATACTTCTATCATATCTCCCCGCACTCTTCGTCTTTCTAGGGAATGCAAGTTAAGTTTCTTTAACCTATCCTGATATGGAAGGTTTCTAAGTCCCGGAATCATTTTTGTCATTCTTCGCTGCACCGACTCTAGTGAATTTATATCCATTCTCTAATAGGGGCACCAGAACTGAACCGCATAATCGAGGTGTGGCCTGACTAGCGCAAGATATAGTTGCAATAAGACCTCTGCACTCTTGTTACTTACACTTCTAGATATAAAACCCAATACTCTGTTTGCCTTATTTCGAACATTAACGCACTGTTTTCTAGGCCGTAGGTCCGGGCTTACAAGTAGGCTACCCCTAGGTCTCTTTCACAAGCCGACTTCTCTAGGTTGATGTTGTTAAGGCTGTATACATTATCAGTATTTGTTCTTCCAATATTAAGTACGCTGCACTTGCTGGTGTTGAATTTCATTTGCCATTTTTCAGACCACCCCTGCAGTTTATTTAGATCCTCCTGTAATGCATTTGCATCCTGCCCTGAATTAATCTGCCGCCCTATTTTGGTGTCATCCGCAAACTTGCTTATGTCACTGCTGATCCCAGTATCTAGATCGTTTATGTAAATTATGAACAAGAGTGGGCCTAGTACTGACCCCTGGGGAACCCCAATGGTTACACGGCCCCACTCAAATTTAACACCATCTACGCTGACCCTGTAGGAGTATGAGATATTGGTTCACATTCAGGATGGGATGGAGAAAGGAAACTCACAATGTGCTCACTGTATACATATTGTATTGGATGTACAATGCAGCTTGTTGCTGGGTAGGTAGCATGGTAATAAGCGTTGAGTAGAGAGAGCTGGGTGGTGAGGGTGCCCAGAGGAGGGACACGCGGCT